TGTTTTTATCTGAGGTGGTACTAAACTCTCATACTCCGTCTGTTAGCAAAGGAAAAACGATTTGTGGAGAATTTCGTACGTGAGCTGCGCGCCCTATGGCCCAGTAAAGTCAGCCACTTTTTTCCTGCCCACGCAGCAATAAAGAATCATATTTTTGCTCAATACGGCATATAAAGTATAATTGGTTTGATGCCAACATTTGGCATTGCCAATATTTGGCAAGCCAACATTTGGCAAAAACAAAAGTTGCCAAATGTTGGCAACTTTTTGTGTGGTTGGTAAGAAAAGTTGGTAGCCAATCAGTCACTAGCCGACATTTGGTATTTGCCAAATATTGGCATGCCAACTTTTGTAATCCAACAAATCATGCTCATAGTTTCAGCTATGTACAGGGCGACCAAGACACGGCGACCCATTTTTGTTTGTGTTCTGTTTCAAATTTCCTTTTGTTGTTTCTTTCTCTTTTCATTTCCTGTTTCTTTTTATTTTGCCATTGCAAATATATTTAAAAAAATCTGAAATTCCACAATTTTCAAAAGAGTTTGCAGTTTTAAATTTTATTCTCAATTTCGTAAAAAGTTACGAATTACAAAAATGTGTTCCTATTTTAAAAAATGTTTCGATTTTTTGTCTTGCCAAAATATGTTCAAATTTTAAAAACATTCCTGTTTTTAATAAAATGTTCGTATTTTTCACAAAAATTCAAGATTTAAACAAATGCATCTAAAAAATGTTCCAAATTCGAGAAATATTGTTGTTTTAAATATAGGTTTAAAAATTTAGAAGAATGTTTGCATTAAAGAAACACATTTTCTAAAATTCTTCTGCATGTTTAGCATATGTTCCCATTTTAAAAAATTGTTCACAACGTAAAAATATTCACATTTTTAAAAGAATGTTCAGGTATTTAAGAAATGTATGCGAATTTCAGGAAATGTTCTGTTCAAATTTTTTGTTCTTGCTTTGTCCAAAAATGTATGTAATTTTTAAAAATCTGTTCAAAATTTGGAAAATTGTTCATGTTGCCAAGTTTATTTGGTAGTTCATGTTATGAATTCCAAAATGTCGTTCCTATTTAAAAAATGTTTGTAATTATGAAATTTGATCATTCTGTTTTTTTCAGAATTTTAAAAATTATTCCCATTTTTTGAAAAATGTTTGTGTTTTTCCAAATTTGTGCAAGATTTAAAAATGTTGCAAATTTGAAAAATATTCTTGTTTTAGTGATATGTTTAAAAATGGAAAATAATTTTTGCATTAAAAGACACATTTTCTAAATTTCTTCCATATGTTCAAAACATGTTCCCGTCTCCAAAAATTGTTCACAACTTCAAAAAAAATCGTATTTTAATAAAACGTTCGTGCTTTTAAGAAATGTTTGTGAATTTCAACAAATGTTCCGTTCAAATTTTTCGTTCTTCTTTTTTTGAAATGTATGGAATTTTAAAAAAATTGTAATTTGGAAAATTGTTCGGGTTGCCCAGTATATTTGGCATTTCATAGTTATTAGTTTTTGAGAAGTTCAAAAAAAAGTTTCGAATCTGACGTTGCATTAGATTCTTTAATATTAACGCTAACCATTGGATAGTAGAACGCATTTGTTTGAGTGGCTAGGAACATGTGGTCGGGTCTTTGAGGTCGTGAGTTCGATCACTCCCACACTGGGCCTGCTCCGCATCCAACGCATCAAACTAAGTCGGCTTGTTTAGAATAAGGGACATCATAAATTATTGACAGTGGTAGCTTCCAGTCGTCAATAAAAGAGAATATGCCGGTCAATTATAGTTGAAACAACTTATGGGCACGCGCCAATATAAAAAGAATATATTGATTTCGCTCTAATTAAAGGGTGCCATGTTGAACTAGAGAATACGGACATGTTGGGGTCTTGATCCATTCTTATATTAAGCTAGAGGCATGTAATTTTATCCTTCCGTTGCAACGCACGGGCATGTGTCCTAGTTTCTCCTAAATTGAAATATGTAAATACTCGTGTAAGCCAATTAAAATATTCATTTTGAGAACCGGCTTGTAGACGACTGGGGGCTCCTTGCCGAAAATTCTACCACAAACACGTTCGGTATGTAACACGTCCTTTTTCTATCTAATAAAAAACAGAGATCCCGGGAAAATAAAGTTGTATGCGTTAATAAAATATCCCAAATGGACAAGCACTAAACAATATCTCAACAATGACAAAAGGAGATCACAAAGCTAATAAATGATGTAAAGTAAAAGAAGCACAGATCAAGATGAACATATAGCTACCATAGAAAAGCTTGTCGATCAGAAAAAAAGAACATCAAGAAGTACGTTACTCTGCGTCGAAAAAAACTACGTTACTGCAACACGTGCGAATGGGTATTAGTATTATTTCTCGCGGCGAGTTCAGGACGGGCCGGGCGCCGGCGCCGGCGCGGCGCTCCCGTCGGCCCGCTTGATGAGGGCGGTGACGGCCCCCATGACCTTCTCGAACTCGTTGCCTTTCGGTAGCAGCCCGGTCTTGACGGGCGCCGTGAGGCCATCCCGGCACTGGTCGCAGTTCCACGTCAGCCCGTCCTTCTCGGCGGTCTCCACGTAGTCGCGCGCGTCATTGAACTTGGCGTCGTCGATGGCGGTGACGCCGCCCTTGCCCCTGTCGACGTCGAGGTGGGAGACGGCCTCCTCCACGTCGGCGACGCACGAGTCCATGCACTGCCACTGCGGGCTCTTGATGGTGACCAGGTTCAGCTGGGTGCGCGCGGCCGTGCCCTCCGCGGCCCCGATCTTGGCAGCGGCGCGGATGCCCAGCTCCGCCAGCCCGCGCGCGTCCACCGTCCTGCTCTCCGGGATGCCCGCCAGGAAGGCCGCGCAGAACTGCTGGTCTGGCGCCTTGGCGCAGGCGTCCTTGACGGAGTTGTCGGCGGCGCCGACGAGGACGGCGCCGGAGAGGAGGAGGAGGGATAAGAGGTTGACACTAGGCGTGTTGCAACGCGCCGCCATGGCCGTGGTCGATCGGTGAACTCGCTCCGGCCTGAGGCTCGATTTGTCTTGGGAGTGGTGACGAGAGCTGCATGTACGTACGTATGTGCATGTGCCCGCTCGGTGCGCGTGGTCAGGAGTGTTTTATGAGCGAGCGGTGGCTGAGTTTTGAGAGCAATGCGCGGACTATGGATTATCAGCACTCCTAATATTAGTAAAGAATTGTATATACCAGTACTTCCTCTGTTCCTAAATATTTGTCTTTTTAAAGATTTCAACAAGTGACTACATGCAGAGCAAAATGAGTGGATCTACACTCTAAAATATGTCTATATACATCCGTATGTGATAGTCCATTTGAAATCTCTAAAAAGACAAATATTTGGAAACGAAGGGAGTACTATATAGCATAAAAGTATTTGCAAACGAATGCAATCATATTATTTCTGCATGTTCAGTACATGCATAGTGTAATTTTACACATACTAGTGGTCAAATTTTAAAGAGCCTATCTATGTCTAAGTGGATTAAGGTTATGAATCTCATTTGATTTAGAAAACCATAGCTTCAGTTTAGGAAAGATCCCAACTTGCACCTGCTCTAGTCGGATCCGGCTTGCCTGCTCCCTCTCCATGCTCCCATCCGTGATCCCACTTCATCCTATGGCGGTCTTTTTTTTCTTTTGTCTTTCTAATCTAATCATCTCCCCCCTGATTTTAAGGGGGTGGGGCCGCGTCTTATTTTGTTCCAATCAAATCAAGCCATGTATGCGGGAGCACGGATGGGAACACACGAGGGAAGCAGGCAAGTCTCGTCCGCTCTAGTCTCTCTTTTTTTCTAAAAAAGTGCACTTTCCAAATTTGAATGAGACTTGAGAAAACTATACTTAGATTGTTAGGTTACTTGCGGTGGAACCAACCCTCAGGATTCAAGTCATAGACTTGGCATTGGTGGTCGCATTTTTCTGTATATATTTCAGGCCTCCCGGCGATGTGTGTTCAGTGGGAGGAGACGTCTCCGTTGACTACGAAGGTGTTTGTGGCGAGTTCGTCAATCTCAAAATGATGTGTCGACTCAGCCTCTCGGAGATGCTCATATGGGTAGGGGGCGTGCGTGCGTTCATAAGGATGAGTGTATGCGCGTATGCATGAGTGTCTGCGTCTGTACTGTGTTGAAAAAAAAAACCTAGTTAAGAGCACCAAGTACATAACAATGATATAGTAGTTTAAACATTGGATTATTGTTCAAAAGTACTCCTCTGATAAAAAATATATGTTGTTTTTGGATATAATTGGAGAAGTTTTTTGTTTTTTGGGGAAACTTAAGAATATCGAGCAAATACGAAAACAACCTACGAAAGCAAGTATTTCCTTAGAACCATATTTTTCTAGCTGCACCCAGCATATCCAAAAATTTACGGTCCAAGCTTGAAATTGATTATGAAATTAACTAAAATTGTAATATTTCTAAGCATAAGGAGTAATGATAATGCTGACGGATCACTTTTAAATATTTACAATGGTATCTAAGTTCATTTTCTATGATGTACTCCCGCTGAAATTTTCTATGCTGACGGCTCTTGTATTTCTTTACGGTGGGAGTAACAAACAATCTTCTTTTCGTCCTGGTTTCACTTATAAACTAGATCGATCTCATTTTTAAACAAAAGTTTTTTTTGTTTTGTCCATGCTACAATCAAACAAGCATTGGTGCAAATTTATTCTTGTTGAATTTAGTGTTGGTCATGTGACATGTCCTTCTGCGGAAATATTAAATACAGACGATGTTGGGCGAGTAAGTGAATTCTCTTGTAACAATATTATGTACTCGAAACACACGTCAAGAAAGACCGAGATAAGCTATTCGCCAACCAGTTTAATTTATTGATAAGAGACATTTTTGCAGAATAAAACAAGTACTACGTACAATTATATTAGCTATATGTATATATAGCTAATATGTAACACTCGAAGTGAGTGCGTACATATATATATGCTCATCATGAATGGTGTATCGGTAGTGTGAATTATGCATCTAGCTCATGGCAGAATAGCGGGTTTCGGCAGCACCGGCGAGGCGCCCCCGTCGGCGAGCTTGATGAGCTGGCGGGTAACGTTCATCATCCTCTCGAATTCGAGGTTCTTGCGGAGCAGCTCGGTCCTGACCGGGCTGGGCGGCGTGTCCCGGCAGGTCTCGTCGCAGGACCAGGTGTCCTGCTCGGAGAGGTCGATGTACTGGCGGACCTGGTCGAACTGGGCGTCGTTGACGCCGCCCAGGGCGTCGTCCAGGTGCGACAGCGCGTCCTCGATGTCCTCGGCGCACTCGTCCAGGCACTGCCACGTCGGGTTGTCGTTGACCAGATCCAGCTCGCGGCGCGCGTAGGCCCCCACCAAGCCGCCGAGCTTGGCGGTGACCCTCATGGAGATCTCCGCCAGCCCGCGCGCGTCCGCCGTCTTGCTGTCCGGCTCGGGCCCGAGGAAGGAGTTGCAGGTGATCGGGCCATCCGTCTTGGCGCAGGACGCCTTGAGGTCCACGACGGGGCCTTTGGGGCGGACACCGAGTTGGGAGGCGGAGGGGGAGGCGGAGGCGAGGAAGAGGAGGACGAGGAGGGAGAAGACGTGGGAGCCGCTCGTGCTGCTGCGGCGCGTGGCCATGGTCGACGTACGAGTACGATCCACTCCAGCCGGCCGGGAGGTGGTCTCCGATCGATCGATCGATCACGAGAATGGGAGTCGGACGTGGGTGAGTATATACGCGCGCGCGCGACCAGAGGCTGGCTGGCTGCATGCTCTATACATGCCGCTCGTTCAGGGCGTGTGTGGTCGGGAGTGTGTCGTGGGTCGCTGCTCTATACATGCCGCTCGTTTGAAAGCGGCTATTTCTGGCGTGCACCTGCGCAAACATACGTGTACACTATCATGTTTACACACACCCAAGATACCGCATGCACTATGTTCCACGCCTAATTTGATCGTGACATCGAGGGCTAGGTGTGTATGTGCGATCTCAAGAGTTTTATTTTTCTTTATCATTTTTGACAATGATGGTTGTTTTCACTAGGAGTACAGACGAAGGTTTATTTACACTTAACAACAGTGGACAAAGCCGCAAAAGCAGGAATCGAAAAGGAGGAGGAAACACATCACGACGGGCACTCCTTGTGCAAGGTCATGAGTACAATTTACCTAAACCCAATTGCTAAGTCTCAGTCGACCGAGATTTCGTTATGTCTCAGTCGATGCTATATTCTTTTGATCTTGCATGGAAATTCATACAAAAAAATTATTTTCAGTTTTTTTTCATTTCTTTTTATATACTATATCACTTGATTGAGACTTGGTTAAGTCTCAGTCGACTGAGACCTAGACACACCCCACCCAAAAAGGCTTTTGCCTTGCTTTATATATAAAACAACAACAAACACATCGATCGACACAAACCACAACACAACACACGATCACACACTCCCAAGACTGGATACATAGGTGCCACAGGCTTACAACAACACCACCCCGAACGACATGAATTAGACACTAAGGAGCCGCGGGCTCTTCCTGGAGAACCCGCGAATAGGTGAAGTTGAAACATGACAAACCGAGAGCTCCAAGATGGTACCATCAAGAAGGACATGACACCAAAGAGCCGCCACCATCCGATCAAAGGATCTAGATCTTCATCTAGAGCACGACGAAGGGAAAAGGAGTAACCACAAGGGAAACTTCAGGAAGATGACGACGCACATGGGCGTCACCTCCGTCGGCCTGGCCAAGCAAGAAAGGGTTTTCACCCCCAGCAGGAAACTTTGTCTTCACCGCCACAGATCGTCAAAACGCCAGCCACCATGCTGCCCACGCAGACATCGCCGCTAACCGCCTGCACCTGAGCTGCGAGCTCAGTCCACGAGCATCGCATGTCCCACCACCCGGGCCACCGCCCAGGAAACAAGACGCACATAGGTGCCCTTCATGGTTGCAAGCGATGCACGGTCATGACCCACGAGTATAGGGGATCTATCGTAGTCCTTTCGATAAGTAAGAGTGTCGAACCCAACGAGGAGTAGAAGAAAATGACAAGCGGTTTTCAGCAAAGTATTCTCTGCAAGCACTGAAATTATCGGTAACAGATAGTTTTGTGATAAGATAATTCGTAATGGGTAACAAGTAACAAAAGTAAATAAGGTGCAGCAAGGTGGCCCAATCCTTTTTGTAGCAAAGGACAAGCCTGGACAAACTCTTATATAAAGCAAAGCCCGAGGACACATGGGAATTATTGTCAAGCTAGTTTTCATCATGCTCATATGATTCACGTTCGTTACTTTGATAATTTGATATGTGGGTGGACCGGTGCTTGGGTGTTGTCCTTCCTTGGACAAGCCTCCCACTTATGATTAACCCTCTCGCAAGCATCTGCAACTACGGAAGAAGAATGAAGGTAAACCTAACCATAGTATGAAACGTATGGATCCAAATTAGCCCCTTACGAAGCAAGACCAATAATTTCATCCTTACTAGGCAATTTTTTATCATGGGGTTGTCTACGAAATTTAGAGAAATTAAAATCATGAGACATATCCCCTAAACCAACAGTAACAATATCCTTTTCACAGTCTATCTTAGCATTAACAGTATTGAAGAAAGGTCTACCAAATATAATGGGACAAAAGTAATCTTGTGGGGAACCAAGAACAAGAAAATCAGTAGGATATTTAATTTTCCCACACAAGACTTCAACATTTCTAACAATCCCAATTGGTGATATGTATCTCTATTGGCAAGTTTAATAGTAACAGCAATGCCTTCTATCTCAGCAGGTGCAATATCATTCATAATTTCTTCATACAAGGTATAAGGTATTGCACTCACACTAGCACTCATATCACATAAGCCATGATAACAATGGTCTCCTATTTTAACAGAAACAACAGTCATGCCAACAACATGTCTATGTTTACCTTTAGTATCGGGTTTAGCAGTCCTAGCAGCTTCACCGCAGAAGTAAATAACATGCTCATCAATATTATGAACCAAGAGATCTTTAACCATAGCAATACTAGGTTCAACTTTAATTTTTTCAGGGGGTGTACATGTTCTAGTATAACTCTTATGTACCACAGTTGAAGCTTCAGCATGATCCTTTATTATAATAGGAAACGATGGTTTCTCAATATAAGCAGTAGGAACAATAGGATCAACATTATAAGTAATAGTTTCTTCTTCAACTTTAATAGGTTATACTATTTTAACTTCAATGGGAGGATGATATTTAAACCACTTCTCCTTTGGAAGATCAACATGAGTAGCAAATGATTCACAGAAAGAAGCTACTATCTCAGAGTCAAGTCCATATTTAGTGCTAAAATCACGAAAAGCATCGGTATTCATAAAATATTTAACACAATAAAACTTAAGGTTTATACTTGACTCCTTACCCTCGTCGAGTTCCCAATCTTCAGAGTTGCGTTTAATTCTTTCAAATAAATCCCATTTGAATTCAATAGTCTTTATCATAAAAGAACCAGTACAAGAAGTATCGAGCATGGAGTGATCATTATGAGAAAGCCGAGCATAATTTTTTTAATAATAATTTCTCTTGAGAGCTCATGATTGGGGGATGAATATAACATTGACTTAAGCCTCCCCAAGCTTGAGTGTCACTTTCTCCTTCACGAAGCCAATATATATATATATATATATATATATATATATATATATATGATTCCGATCACGATGAACCAGATGCATAGGATAAAACTCTGATGAAATTCCTATTTCAATCGATTGTAGTTCCATGATCCAATATCATCACATAGCTATACCATGTCAATGCATTTCCCTTCAAAGATAAAGGGAAGACCTTCTTCTTGACAACATCCTCGGGCATACCTGCAAGCTTAAATAATCCACAAACTTCATCCACATAGATTAGGTGCATATCCGGATGTAATGTTCCATCTCCTGTATAAGGATTAGCTAGCAGTTTCTCTATCACACCTGAAGGAATTTCAAAGTAAATATTTTCAGTAGGTGCATCAGGTGGAGAAGCAACTCTTTACTCTTCCGGTCGAGGTGAAGATACCCCGAACAAGCCCCTCAAAGGATTATTTTCCATAGTAACAAGTGACAGTAAATTTTAGTTGTTGGGAAACATAGCATGCAATTTCAAAAAAAAATTACTACGCTCACGCAAGATCTATCTAGGAGATGCATAGCAACGAGAGGGGGAGAGTGTATCCACGTACCCTCATAGACAGAAAGTAGAAGCGTTTCCTTAATAAGGTTGATGTAGTCGAATGTCTTCTCGTTCCGACCGTCGAGTAACGAACGTACGACACCTCTGAGTTCTGCACACGTTCAGCGTGATGACATCCCTCAAGCTCTTGATCCAGAAGAGAGTCGAGGAAGTAGATGAGTTCCGTCAGCACGATGGCATGGTGACAGTGATTGTGATGTGATCCGTGCAAGGTTTTGCCTAAGCACCGCGAGAATTTACCGAAGGCATAAACTATGGAGGGGGGCGCCGCATGTGGCTTGC